GCTCCCACAAAATAGGAGACTGAAGGTGGGGTTTATTCCCCCCCCCCCCCCCTTCTGCTCCCGAGTTTCTCCTGAGAGGATAAATCTCGAGATCTTGCTGCAGAGCTGAACAGCCTGAGCGAAGCTCTGGCACTAGACAGGTCTTCACACGTGGAGCAGGGAAAACCCAATGCTTGCAACACGTCCAGTGTTGAGATGTTTTCAACCCTGATTTAGGAACCTGTGTGGGATTTGGGTGTTGACTGTCACAAGGACCCAGAACCTGTATCCTGTAAAGCACCACTGATGAAGGAAGGTGCTGCTTGACAGCGATGGGGGTGGTCCCCTGGGGTCTGAAGCTCCATTCAGACCTGTTAGTTGCTCATCTCTAGAAAACTGGGAAGCAGATTGTTGGTTTTTACTTAATAAAAGTGATTTATCAGATATTGCAGCTCCGGAGGCAGCTGCAGGCGTGAGGAAGTGAGGGCATCACCTGCTGGCATCTTGAGTTTCCTCCTGGCTGTAATGGGTGACCATCAAATAGATACCAAATACCCTGGAGATGTCTGTTCCCTGTACCCAGTGTGGGCTGATCTCATTGGGTAATGAGAGATGAAAAGCTGATCTTGGCCATGGGCGAAGAACAAGAAGGATTCAGGATTCAGACAAAAGCTGAATTCTTTCCCAAGTCCCATGACCATTAATTATCCTTGACCTCCAGGGAAGGCATTTTATGGTGCCAAATACTTCCCTTTCCATTAATTTCTGAGACTTAGGAGAACATTGCAAATTTCTCTCCTCATTAGCAGCTGGGAAAAATCATATAATTTTGCCAGTTTTCCTTATCCCTGGTGTGTCTTGTTAATGCCTTCCAGGTGCTTTTCCTTCATGCTGTCTCCATCATCGCACCTCCCACCTTCTCATTAATATCCGTAGGGATCTGCTCCAAGTCAGGTCTGTGCCTGGTAGCAATATTTTATGTTCATGGTGCTCAGGATAAAACCTATCCTCCAATCTCTTGCTGTCACTATGTGGCACCTCCACCACGAGTTTTCCAATTAAACCAGAATCACATCTCTCCTGTAGCTGTCTGCTGGCACTGCTGTGGGTTTTTTTCTTGCTGGGCTGTGTTCTCAGCTGTAACTTCATTAACTTCTTTTTTTTTTCCATGCAGTGCTGAGGTGTGTGTGCATCTCCTCTTTCCTCCATGCATCC